CAAAATTCTGCAAACAGCTCACCGTTCTCGCTCATTTCGCCGAGACCATGGCGTCCCATGACACGCTCATAGTCCGTGTTGTCGGAGCCGATCTTCGCATTGAAGTCGCCAGTGTAGATCTTGATGTCACCCTTTGGAACCTTATCCACGACGGCATTCAGTTGACTGTAAAAATTCTCCTTGTCCTGTAGCTCGGCAGCATCGGTTGGCGCATAACATGGGATTATGGTAAGGTTACGAACCCGTGTTCTAAATCTGGCAACGATTATCCTCTCATTAACAGGCTCCCACTAGATGAGCGCAGCACTTGCCTGGACGCTAAGTAGGAGACCAACTCCACGATGGCGGGGAGCGTTTTCACCTCGAATACCAGATTATAGTAGTACCTGTCCCGACGGCAGTTTGTGTTCTCCAAAGTTTGGCCAACGAACTTCACTCAGTCCCAGGATTTCTAGCGTCATGCGTCGCGCCTCGTTGGCGAGTTGTGCCAGTTTACCCTGCTGGGCTAACGTCAATACATTCCATGATCCAATTCGTGTCCGTTGTTTTGCGCTAAAAGTCGTTGCCGTTATATCAGTTCGATGTCTTTCTCTGTTGGTTTCTGTAACAATTGTAAAGGTTTCAGAGACAGTAGGTGGTTGGCCTAAGGTCTCCTATCCGCCGTGATGGGGCTGCCATCTTAGGTGTAGCTTCCGGGGAAGAGCATTTCTTATTCAGCCGCTGGATGCCAGTCAGACGCTGTTTGAGCCGCATCTCCATGGTGAACAGACGCTCGGGTTGGCGAAGCATTTCCTCTATCACCGTGCTATGGTTACCGCGCCAGTGTTCGCGTCGCATTTCCTCACTCTGCTGTTGTCGGATTGACAACATTGCCCCTGCTACGCCAACCAGCTGTGTCCATGTTTCAGCTGGCAGTCTTTTGTGATCATATGACTCGTGGAGGCGTGAGGTAGGAACTTGTGAGGACCGGAGCTAGGTATATCGCTCCTTCCAGATTGTCACTCACCATTTTGTAGCCCAGGTCTTGAGCGTACCCACATATTTATTCATTTTAAACAACTTTCAAGAATATACCAACGTTCTATATCGAAGCGTTTTGAAGTGTGGGATGATTCGTTCATTTTTAAAAACTTGTAATCTTTGAAATTCAATTCCTCCTAAACGAAACATATTGTTGTTTTTTCGCGTTAAGTGATTAATAAAGTAAAAATGTCAGCTGAATACTTGACGCCAGGGTAGCTTCCACTCACTTGCTATAAAAAAGAATGTTTTTAGGAATTATAAAATCATTAGATGTTATTATGAAAGCTTGTACTTGTAAGTTGAAAGAAGTGGTTGTAAAGTATGTGTTTGACACATGAAACCTATCAATTTCTCTTTCAGAATGTCACAATCAGCGATTTTATGATTCGTGAGCGTTCTTGTTTTTTGTGTCAAACACTTGAATTTCAATCCCTTCTTCAATTCCCTAACAAGTACAAAATATCATTATAACATCTAATGATTAAAAAATTCCGAAAATCATTTTTATAGCAAGTGAGTGTAAGCAAGCCTGCTTGACGCCATCAAAATTGAATAAAAAGTTAGTGCATTTTGTGATATTTACATTTAAAATAGCAAAATCGTCATCAACATGGTAGAAACATTACGGTCACAAAATTTTATTGTATTATCGATTATCGATGCGCAAGCAGGAGTACCCGAAGGGTACAAACAAAGATTGAATAGGTATAAGTATAAAACAAGGTCGAAAATTAGTAGGTAATATTAACACTGAGGAGTGCTGTTTATTTGTTGTAACAATAACACTTCCTTCAGCAAAATGATAATAGATCCGTACGGCAAGACAGCACGATGCAGACTTGATTCTTATGTTCAATGTGAATTAATTCTAGAGGGTCTAGCATAGGATGTAAACAATCCTATAACGGATCCCAGATGATCCATAAAACGTTAATGATGACTTGGGTAAAATTAAGTTAATTAAGTTATTAGACACGTTTGTTATTCGTCCCAACGCTTCAGCACTTTTTGATGCCTTCTTCAGAGCAAACTGGTTGGAAGGGGATTTATTAGAATAATTCAACATAGTCTAACATGGTTCACACTTACAATAGATATTGTCGAACTTTTTCAAAATGTTTTTTTTTTTCCTTAAACTTGTGTATTAGTACTTTGATTTTGGTAGATATAATTTTCAGTGACGCCCCTTCCAACCAGTTTCCCCTGAAGAAGACACCAAAAAGAGCTGAAACGTCGGAACGAATACCAGAGTGTCGTTTTAAATGAGAGCATTAGACTGATAAGCCAGATTCAAACATAGTTTGAACTTTAAGACTCTACAAGACCACCATTCTCTCGATTTTGGAGTACGGTAGCTTTTGCTTTCAATCGGCGGCGGGGACGCACATATTGAAGCTCCAAAGGATTCAATATCGTTGCATTCGAATCGCGCTAGGTTGTATGCAATCGACGCATACCATGAGTCTTGAAGTTCTTGCGGGCGTCCTCCCCTTAACAAATCGTTTTGCGGATTTATCGTTCCGGTTCCTCATCCGCTGTGAAGTCATGAACCCGCTGGTGATCGAAAACTTTGAGAAGCTGCTAGAGCGGAATCCTCAAACACGATTCATGAGCTTGTACTACGAGTACATGACTCTGGACATCGGCCCCTCCTCGTTCAACCCCAATCGCGCTGTCTCCCATCATTTCAGTGGTTCTTCCGTGAGATTCGATCTCACAATGAGGCAGGAGATTCAAGGAATTCCAGAGCCTCACCGTGCCCTGATTGTCCCAACTATTTTTGCGAACAAATACCGCCACGTTCCCACCGAGAAGAGATTTTTCACAGATGGGTCGGTGATAAATGCGTCCACTGGTTTTGGAGTATTCCACGATCTTCATAGCGCCTCATACAAGCTTCAAAAGCCGTGTTCGGTATACGTTGCTGAACTAGCAGCTATATCGTACACGTTAGAGCGTATTGCCTCACTTCCACCTGACCATTATTTCATTTTTACGGATAGCCTAAGCTCCCTGGAGGCTATATGTTCAATGAGGCCGATGAAGCACTCGGCGTATTTCCTCCAGGAAATACGATCGTCATTGAGTGCTTTATCAAACAGCTCACATGTCATCACCTTGGTATGGGTCCCTTCTCATTGCTCTATCCCGGGCAATGAGAAGGCGGACTCGCTGGCCAAGGTGGGCGCTATGGAAGGCGATATTTACGAGCGACAAATCGCCTACCACGAATTTTTCACGATCTCTCGTCAGCAGTATTGTCCCACAGGTGTCGATCAACCACTGGTTCAAAGGGTTGGATATGAGTCGTGATTTTATTCGTGTAATGTCCAGGCTCATGTCCAATCACTGTTCGTTAAACGCCCACCTCTTTCGTATTACGCTCGCCGACAGCAACTTATGTACCTGTGGAAACGGTTATCACGGCATCGAGCATGTTGTTTGGTTCTGCTCCTTGCATTGTGAGGCGAGATCCGTTCTGTGCGATTCCCTTAGGGTCCGAGGAAAACAACCCTTTAAGCCAATTAGAGACGTCTTGGCTTGCCGTGATATCGACATTATGAAGCTTATTTACGACTTTCTTAAAGCTGTTGATGTATGTGTTTAGTGTTTTGTGTTTTAGTCATCCTTTACGTTTAAGTTTTAAATTAGTTCAAAATGCTTTCCCTTGTCCTCCCTCCAAATGATCAATAAATGTAATCCCTAATCTCGAGTAAACCGCGAGTAATCGGCCCCCGTTCTACTAACATTAGTTGTAAGAAAATTATATTCACACACAATAATGTAAAAAATATTCGGCTCCGCAAAGCTAACGCATTTGAGCCTTGACAAATAAATGGATTATTAAAAAAAAAAAATAGTTTGAACTTCTACAGTTGACCTCTACTCCACTACCCAAGTAATCAACAAGTCCATTAATCGCCCTTTTTGCAATATAATACTGATATACGTCTGATATAGAGTTATAAATTCCTATAACAACCTTGCAAAAAGGGCGATTAACGGGCTGGTGGTTACTTGGACAGTTACCTACTTTTGTTTTCCGTCGATCTTATTTTCCGTACTGAGTGCCAATGCTACCGACACCAGGGTGTCGACTATCGACTTATGAACTCAAAGACCGGGGACCAACGGCTTTAATTCCGTTCCGAAAGGCAGTTACCTATGTTAAGTATCATACTAGGTAAAGAATTAACTTGCACCGAACTGATAAAAAAAGTGCTGTAACAATAATTGAAAGGTAATGAATTTAGTGTAAATGGCTACAGCAACTACTATAGGGTTAAAATATAGCAATTTACCCTAAGCTTAGCTAGGGGCTCAGATACCCTAGTTAGTTATGGCTCGGTACTACCAAGCCAATTTCAATTCCCGGTCCGATCTAGAAATCTTTCAGGTTGGACAGTTCCTCAACATCAGCAGGCATAAGTTCGTGAAAGTATATCAAAGCAAGGCAAGACGGATCCAACTAAGCTTCCGCAATTCAAGATAATTCTAGCTCCCTAAGAGACCACCCTTTCAGTAATGCCAATGTTATCGATCAACCCGAATGATGTCCGGTCCACCAAACCAATCATCATTTCGATAAGACCACGATTAAACCCGAGATTGAACCATTCATTGAAGGGCCGCATTAGGTGCTCTCTTATCGAAATATGGTTTTGGACTTTCCAAGCAACCAGCTGCAGCTATCAAAGATTCCACCACCTGAGCTACTATCATCAAGCCCTTTTGTATTTGTTTTCCTCGCTACCTACCACTTGCCAGATAATTTGAACTTTATCGTCAGCCTGGGCTGTAAGTTCACCTGGACTGAAGCTTCCTTTTCGGCGCATGGTAAGGTACACCTGCATGATAACAAGCAGATTACTTTAAGTCCTAAACCTTAATTTGATTGATTTCCTTTCTCCGGAAGGGCTGTATATAAAAGGCGTTTCGCAAATGTAGAAGTCAGTAGTTGATCCACGCTCATCGAAATGACAGGAAAGGTATCCCTTGTCTTCGTCGCCATGTTGGCAGCATTGGCTGCAGCTGCCGTTGAAGTCGACCCCAGCAGACCAGTGCTGTTTGGAACTCATAGAATAATCCCTCGGGCACCCGCTGAACCAGAGGACGGAGGCGAAACGACGCGACTTCCAGTTTGGAATAGGTTCTCGATGCGCAAGAACCACAACGTAGCTCAAAATTGGGATTTCTTCGGAATGCGATATGTATCGAATGCTCAGTTCTACAAACCGGGAGGCCCGGTATTCCTGTTTGTCGGAGGACCGTGGCCTTTGAAGCAACATTTGGTAGAACAAGGGCATTTTGTCGACATGGCTGAGGAAATGAACGGCTATCTGGTCGCTAACGAAATGCGATACATTGGAGAGAGTTTGCCCGAAATGTAAGTAGCTGCTGGTAGATAAGCAACCAAATTTTACCGCATACCCTATCAATTCCAGAAATGCAACTCGTCACAGTATGAGATTCCTGAGCACTACGCAACTTCAATCCGATTTGGCAAGATTCATCGTTTATCTTCGGAACGATATCATCCGGGACCCAAATGCAAAGGTAATCCTGGCCGGAGTTGGGTTCTCTGCTTCCTTGGCCCAATGGACTCGACAACGTTTTCCACATCTTGTGCAGGGAGTGTGGTCTTCTAGCGGAATGGTCGAGGCTAATTCAAATTTCATGGGTTTTGCTGAGCAGCTGGGAGCAAACATTCGTCAGTTCGGAAGCAACGACTGTTACAGTGCTATATGGCGAGGATTCCGTATTACTGAGAATCTCATTGATGCCGGACTTTCGGAGACCGTGGACAAGCTTTTCAACGTCTGCCAACCGATTGATGCTGGCAATTCTCTGGAAGTCGAAGCTTTCTTCTATGGTATCTTCAATGAAATCGTCGAGCAAACCGTTAATCATGATTTGCGTGATAACATTCCAACGATGTGTGAAGCACTGACCGATAATAGCCATCCAGACAGTATGACTGCATTGGGAAGCTGGTTGACCAGCCGTTTTCCCGAAGCGGATTGTCTTGCTATGGACGTCGAAAGCATCGTAGAGCACTACGACGTTACGGACTGGCATGACGCGATGGTTAAAAGTGGAGATCGTCAGTGGCTGTTCCTTCGCTGTACTGAACTCGGATGGCCTCTGACCAGCGATTCATCGGACCAGCCGTTTGGATTCCGTTTTTCGACGAACCTTTTCCACCAGGTCTGCCAACGTCTTTTCGATGCATGGCTGTCGCCGGATGTGTTTGAATTTCTGGTTGATCAGACAAATGACTTCCAGGGAGGAAGACAACCAGATGTTCGACGTGTTTTCTTTACGCATGGTTCGCTGGATCCGTGGCATTTGACTGGAGTCACTGAAATGAGATATAACAATACGTACGTTAACATTATTCCGGGTGCTTTCCACGGCGAAGATCTGGCATCCATCTCGGACGACGATCACTTCGAACTGAAGCGAAGCAAACGGCTAGTGACTGAACAGATTCGCAATTGGCTTAACACCAGCTATCCCTGAAACCTACTAATCGCTGATGGAATGGAGAATTGTACTTGTTAGAACTGTAGGTAGATTGTAAATAAATAAATAAATAAAAAGGCATTTAATGCAATCCATATTAATCTTGTGTTTTGCTATAAGTTTAGAACTATGATGCCATTGTACATAAATAGGTACTGTACGATCACTTTGCATTACCTTACCTCACCATTCAAGCTATAAGGCCTGTTCGTGCTTTGTTCGTCCACTCGGTGCATGGCTGCATATCGCCAGCCACGCTTTCTGTAGAGATTCCGCAGGTCGCCTTTCACCTGGTTGATCCACCTTGCCTAGTTCCAGTCGGATCGTTTTCAAGAATCATGTTTACCGAGTTGTCGTTCTACTTCCCACGCTAATAAGAGGGTGATTTTTTTTTATTAATTACTTTATTTGTACAGGCTCAATCGAATAAACTTTACAGGGCCGAGTTATCATTTTTGTTATACATTATTGATTTCTTATATTTAAAGTTAAAGGAGCTGGACCGGATACTCGCGGTTGTCTCGAGGTTAGTGGGGATTTACAATTTTTTTTGGATGGGAAAAGGGAGAGGGAGGTTTGAAATGTGGTTTACGATACAAATATTGAATTAATCCTAAAGCATGAACTAATTCAGAGTTGTTTGGAAATGCTAACATGAAGCTTTAGTGTGATGATTTATTAGCTAGAGAATGATCTTTAGAAGAGGGTAGGTGGATAGTTCCGTTAGAGTACGGCAGTATGAAAATTGAATAGAAGTTGAAAATGAGCGAAGGGCCGAACTAATTTCTATTCATCTTGAAAACAAACATAAAAAAAAAAACCCACACGTACAAAATACAAACTAAACACAAGGTTAATAAAACTTACAATCTAATGTTAATATTCTTAAAGTAAACATATATGAGTTTCATAAACTCCAGATCGCGTCTAGCCAAAATATCCCGAACTGGAACATTAGGTTGTCTACCTCGAGCCCGAAGGGAATCGTACAGTTCAGATCTGACACCGCGATGCTCAGCACAAGACCAAATAATGTGATCTGCGTCCTGGTAACCTTGTCCACATTCACAGAGATTGCTGTCCTTCAGCCCAACACGGAACAAGTGAGCGTTTAACGAATAGTGATTGGACATGAGGCGAGACATCATACGAATGAAGTCTCGACCCACATCCAGCCCCTTGAACCAAGAACTCTTCGACACCTTAGGGATGATCGAATATAGCCATCGTCCCAAACTCCCTTCACTCCACTTATTCTGCCAGCTGACGAGTGACTGTTGACGATAAATGAAGAAAAATTCATCGTAGGCGATTTGTCGATCGTAAATATCGCCTTCCTTCAGCGCCCACCTTAGCAAGTGAGTCAGCCATCTCATTGCCCGGAATCGAGCAATGAGATGGGACCCATGCAAAGGTGATGACAAAAGATCTTAAAGATAAAGCACTTAAAAGCTCTCGTATTTTCATGAGAAAATACGAGGAGTGCTTTACCGGCCTCATAGAGCGAATAGCCTCGACAGAACTGAGACTATCCGTAAAAATAAAATAATGATCTGGTGCAAGTGAGGCGATCGTTTCTAGCGTATAATGTATTGCCGCCAGCTCAGCAACATATACGGAACAAGGAGCTTGAAGCATTCGAGAGGCACTATGAAATTTGTTAAAAATACCAAAACCAGCGGACGACTCTATTAGTGATCCATCTGTGAAGAACGATCTTGCGGAATCAACTTGGCCAAACTTTGCAGCGTAAATTGACGGAACAATCATGGAACGATGATGTTCTGGGATCCCACGAGTCTCCCGCGTCATAGATAAATCAAAACTAACTGAATTGCCGAAGTCGGAGAAGCATACACGATGAGGATTATGCTGTGAAGGGCTGACATCCTGTGTTATGTACACGTAGTACAATGACATAAAACGAGTTTGAGGGTTCAGCTCAAGAAGCTTTTCAAAGTTTTCGATTACCAGTGGGTTCATAACTTCGCAACGGGTGAGGAGCCTGAGGGACAATTCCGAGAACCGATCCGATAGTGGCAACATGCCCGCCAACACTTCGAGACTCATCGTATGAGTCGAGTGCATGCATCCTAACGCGATACGAAGACAACGATACTGGATACGTTCCAGTTTGATGATGTGAGTTTTAGCCGCCGACTGGAAACAAAAACTACCGTATTCTAAAACCGATAAAATCGTTGTCCGGTACAACGTTAGAAGATCTTGCGGATGGGCTCCCCACCACGTTCCGGTAATTGTTCGGAGAAAATTGATCCTTTGTTGGCATTTCCGCTTCAGATACTCAATGTGGGATCTCCAGGTGCATTTTGAATCGAACCAGACCCCAAGATATTTGAAGGACATAGAATGAGTGATCGGTTTACCCAAAAGTTGAAGCTTTGGTTGTGCTGGGCTATGCTTCCTAGAAAAAACGACCAACTCAGTTTTCTCCGTGGAGAATTCGATACCTAGCTGAATAGCCCAAGTAGACAAATTGTCTAAGGTATCCTGTAAGGGTCCTTGCAGGTCGACCCCTTTGGGCCCTGTCATAGACACTACGCCGTCATCTGCAAGTTGTCTCAACGTGCAGTTGTCACTTAGACAATTGTCAATTTCTCTGACGTAGAAATTATACAAAAGGGGGCTTAAACATGAGCCCTGGGGGAGACCCATGTAACTAAATCGAGAAGCTGTAGAGTTTCCATGAGAAAAGCTCATATGTTTCTCTGACAGCAAATTGTACAAAAAGTTATTTATTAATGGAGAAAGGCCACAAGCGTGGAGTTTGTCTGAAAGGACTTCAACGGATACTGAATCAAAAGCCCCCTTGATATCCAAGAATACAGAAGCCATTTGCTCTTTTTTAGCAAAAGCCAACTGAATTTCTGTGGAAAGCAACGCGAGACAGTCGTTCGTTCCCTTGCCCCTACGGAAACCAAATTGAGTATCTGAGAGTAGGTGGTTCAACTCAACCCATTTGTCCAGGCGAAAAAGGATCATTTTCTCCAACAATTTTCGAATGCACGATAACATCGCGATGGGACGATACGAGTTATGATCTGAAGCGGGTTTTCCAGGCTTTTTAATGGCTATAACTCTCACTTGCCTCCAATCATCCGGAACAATATTGAGCTCCAGGAACTGACAAAACAAGTTCAACATGCGCCTCTTAGCGACGTCTGGGAGGTTCTTCAACAAGTTGAACTTGATTCTATCAGCCCCCGGAGCCGAATTGCCACACGAAAGGAGCGCGAGTGAGAGTTCCAGCATTGAAAAAGGCTGGCTGATCTCGTCTACAGAATTCGTCGTTTCGCGAGGAATCATCTGTGCCGGCACGGAATCAGGACATACTTTTCGCGCGAACTTGAGAATCCAACGATCTGAGTACTCCTCGCTCTCGTTGTTCGAAGACCGGTTACGCATCCTTCGCGCCGCGTTCCAAAGCGTATTCATCGACGTTTCGCGCGATAATCCGTCCACGAATTGCCGCCAGTATCCGCGTTTCTTGGCTTTGATGAGGCTCTTGAGTTCGCGTTCAAAAGCCGAGTACGCTTCGAAATACTAGGGTGTTCCGCGTTTCCGGAAAAGCTTAAACGCGTCGGACTTTTTACGATAAACCTCAGTGCATTGGTGGTCCCACCAAGGGGAAAGAGGTTTCCTACGCAAAGACGTTCCAGGAACCGGCCAAGTTTGAGCTCGAAGCGCGCTGTCCAAGATCAGATTGGAGAGGAAGTTACATTCCTCCAACGGTGGAAGCCCTTCTACCGACGACACGGCTTCGTATATCGCGGTCTTGAACGTTGTCCAATCGATATTACGGGTGAGGTCGTACGCGACGTTAACGGATTCCGACGGATTGAACCCACTGGCAATCGAAATTTTGATCGGCAAGTGATCACTACCGTGGGGATCCTGGATCACATTCCACGTGCAATCCAACGATAATGAGTTAGAGCAAAGTGTGAGGTCTAATTTACTTCCATTCGAAGATGGTCCAGCCAAACGTGTTACTTCTCCATTGTTAAGAATTGTCATATTGAAGTTATCACAGAGGTCATATATAAAAGTAGAACGGTTGTCATCATACAGTTCCCCCCAGCCTGTACCGTGGGAATTAAAATCTCCCATAATCAACCGTGGAGCAGGAAGTACTGAACATATATCTGAAAGTTGTTTTCGATTAACAACGGCTCTAGGAGGAATATAAACAGAAGCAATACAAAGGCTCTTACCTTTAAAAATAGCCTGACATGCGACAACTTCAATACCTGGAAATTGTGGAAGATTCACTCTATAGAAGGAATGGCACTTTTTGATCCCCAAAAGTACTCCTCCTCCACGCGAATCCTCACGATCCAGTCGAATAATGTTAAAATCATAAAAAGGAAGATCAATATTTGAAGAGAGCCAAGTTTCACAAAGAGCAAATGCATCACAATCATTATTGTGAACTAAAAACTTAAAAGAGTCTAATTTAGGAATAAGACTTCGACAATTCCACTGTAGAATAGTGATCAAATCCCCGACCTCGTTTGGAAAATTATGCATCGAAGGAAATGATTGCTGCAATGAGGGGCCACTTCAATGTCAATTGCTTCAAGAGGGTCTTCACAGTAGGAAGCATTGCCAGAACAATGCTTTTGAGAGGATCAGAAATATTCAGGTACTTGAGAATATCGTCCACAATTTTATCAAATGAGAACAACCCAGATTAAGAAGGGGCTTCTGTTCTTAAAAATGGGACATCAGGGGTTTTGGATGTCCCCGGGAGAGGTGGAAAATCCTGGGTATAGTCAGTTCTTCTGAATCCAGGAGGAGTAGAAACTTCCTTTTTTCCACCACTCCTTGATTTTTGCAAGCTGATTTGGGGTTCTTCATTCTCAACTTTCTGCGAACGGATGCGTTTTCGTTTCCGTGCTGAAAAACAGAAAGAAGTTCCCTCCTCAGCCAAGTCAGAGTCAGTCTCGTCATCTGACAAAAGAGAAAAGGGATTT